TATCCTAATTTTACTGCTTTTTAAGCTTAAAATATTGTGCTAAATCCTGATTGTGCTATAAGTGTTATTTTCTATAAATAGTTTTCTATTGCATATTGTTTTTTGTGTACTCACTTATCTGTTAATAATACACTAAAATACAAGTAAGCTAAAATATGAACTTTAACAGTGTCCAACTTGTGAGAATGAATTATAATTTTCATCCCATCTGACAAGTGTATTCCAGGTGTGTAGCTGCCATTATGCTGGTACATGGGTAAATCCACTAAATTGTCAAATAGAAGAAAAAAACGGCTTGCTGCACCTTGATTTGTCTCACTTCCAAGGCTCTGCCCAGCTATACCTTGACTTGCCTCCCTACCAAGGCTCTGCCCAGCTTCACCTTGACTTGCCTCCCTGCCAAGGCTCTGCCCAGCGACACCTTGACTTGTCTCACTTCCAAGGCTCTGTCCAACTTCACCTTGACTTGCATCCCTACCAAGGCTCTAACCAGCTACACCTTGACTTATATCCCTACCAAGGCTCTACCCCGCTACACCTTGACTTGACTCCCTACCAAGGCTCTAACCAGCTACACCTTGACTTATATCCCTACCAAGGCTCCGCCCAGCTACACCTTGACTTGCCTCCCTACCAACGCTCTGCCCAGCTACCCCTTGACTTGCCTCCCTCCCAAGGCTCTGCCCAGATACACCTTGACTTATATCCCTACCAAGGCTCTACCCCGCTACACCTTGACTTATATCCCTACCAAGGCTCCGCCCAGCTACACCTTGACTTGTCTCCCTCCCAAGGCTCTACCCATCTACACCTTGACTTGACTCCCTACCAAGGCTCTAACCAGCTACACCTTGACTTATATCCCTACCAAGGCTCTAACCAGCTACACCTTGACTTATATCCCTACCAAGGCTCCGCCCAGCTACACCTTGACTTGTCTCCCTACCAGGGCTCTGTCCAGCTACACCATGACTTGTCTCACTTCCAAGGCTCTGTCCAACTTCACCTTGACTTGCATCCCTACCAAGGCTCCGCCCAGCTACACCTTGTCTTGTATCCCTACCAAGGCTCCGCCCAGCTACACCTTGACTTATATCCCTACCAAGGCTCTGCCCAGCGACACCTTGACTTGTCTCCCTACCAAGGCTCTGGCCAGCTTCACCTTGACTTGCATCCCTACCAAGGCTCTAACCAGCTACACCTTGACTTGACTCACTTCCAAGGCTCTGTCCAACTTCACCTTGACTTGCATCCCTACCAAGGCTCCGCCCAGCTACACCTTGACTTGACTCCCTACCAAGGCTCTGCCCAGCTACACCTTGACTTGTATCCCTACCAAGGCTCTGTCCAGCTGGACCCACTCCTAAATAAATCCACTCCAAACATCATTGCTGAGGATTATGGGCTAGTTACGCCTGTATCCCCAAACATCAATGCTGAGGATTATGGGCTAGATACGCCTGTATCCCCAAACATCAATGCTGAGGATTATGGGCTAGTTACGCCTGTATCCCCAAACATCATTGCTGAGGATTATGGGCTAGTTACGCCTGTATCCCCAAACATCAATGCTGTTTGTGTATAACATGTATTGTATACTGATGGGCCACGGAAATCCTGTGTTGTAAGTTTGTCTGTCAGCAGTCCACATCTATCACGGGAATCATGTGTTGTAAGTTTGTCTGTCAGCAGTCGACATCTATCACGGAAATCCTGTGTTGTAAGTTTGTCTGTCAGGAGTCGACATCTATCACGGGAATCCTGTGTTGTAAGTTTGTCTGTCAGCAGTCGGCATCTGTCACGGAAACCCTGTGTTGTAAGTTTGTCTGTCAGCAGTCGGCATCTATCACGGAAACCCGGTGTTGTAAGTTTGTCCGTCAGCATTCGACATCTATCATGGAAACCCTGTGGTGTAAGTTTGTCTGTCAGCAGTCCACATCTATCACGGAAATCATGTGTTGTAAGTTTGTCTGTCAGCAGTCGACATCTATCATGGAAACCCTGTGTTGTAAGTTTGTCTGTCAGCAGTCCGCATCTATCACGGAAACCCTGTGTTGTAAGTTTGTCCGTCAGCAGTCGACATCTATCACGGAAATCCTGTGTTGAAAGTTTGTCTGTCAGCAGTCGACATCTATCACGGAAATCCTGTGTTGAAAGTTTGTCTGTCAGCAGTCGACATCTATCACGGAAACCCTGTGTTGTAAGTATGTCTGTCAGCAGTCCATTTCTATCACGGAAATCCTGTGTTGTAAGTATGTCTGTCAGGAGTCGACATCTATCACGGAAATCCTGTGTTGTAAGTTTGTCCGTCAGCATTCGACATCTATCATGGAAACCCTGTAGTGTAAGTTTGTCTGTCAGCAGTCCACATCTATTACGGAAATCCTGTGTTGTAAGTTTGACTGTCCGCAGTCGACATCAGTCACGGAAATCCTGTGTTGTAAGTATGTCTGTCAGCAGTCCATTTCTATCAGGGAAATCCTGTGTTGTAAGTTTGTCTGTCAGGAGTCGACATCTATTACGGAAATCCTGTGTTGTAAGTTTGTCTGTCAGCAGTCGACATCTATCATGGAAACCCTGTGTTGTAAGTTTGTCTGTCAGCAGTCGACATCTATCACGGAAACCCTGTGTTGTAAGTCTGTCTGTCAGCAGTCGGAATCTATCACGGAAATCCTGTGTTGAAAGTTTGTCTGTCAGCAGTCGACAACTATCACGGAAATCCTGTGTTGAAAGTCTGTCCGTTAGCATCTAACACAGAAATTCGGAGCAAGCTTTTGTATACCGAATCAACTGTAAAACGTTACCACCGTTGTGTGGGGAAGCAAGGAAGTTGCTATCAGGGAATGGAAAACTCAAGATTGGAAAATCGACCCGCTTCGTACACCTTGTATGTCGTCCTTGTTGTACGTGAAGATAGAGGAAAGCAGCTGAGGTAGAAGCGTCTGTAGTGTCCTTCAGGCTCAGGAGAGGATCATAGGATCGATTTGGTCTATTGTATACGCAGTCTTTAAATTGTTATTTGACGAGTACGTCGTTGATATATCTTTATGTGAAACTTGGCTAGGTTTTTATTACCATTCCTGATAAGCTCATTTATAAATTCAGCTTCATTAGCTCATATGAAATTACAAACCAGTCGGCTAGAAGAGAGTTACCGTGTGTTCTCATAGGGATGAGAGTTAGTCTCCGGGGAAATTTTACCATCGAACTTCACAAAAATATTATCAACCAGGAACTTCAATAGTTAACTTTGAATGTTGATTTAACTGCATACATTTTTTTCCGGATTTTTAACAGAAGGGGCTTACGTCAAACCAGAGACATACAAAGTAGTATATACGTCTCTGATCAAACCGTCATGAAATAAAGTATCCCAAGTTACTAAAAGTTAAAATGGTGGCAGTTGTGAAACCGTTTCCTAGTATCGTGTGTATCCTCCTCGAACACCTACATAATCTCTAATTCTGCGCTGCATAGAGTTCATCAGGGCATTGACTTTCAGTATAGGTATGTTTTTTTCATTCCTCGACAAGTGCATTTGTTTACTGCGACTTGGAACCTAAATGTATCATGACCGAAATAAGTCTTTCAGAAAGGTACAATAGAGTTGTCTTTGTTGTTTCAACGTTAACATGGTATAACATGAAATGCTACTGGAATGCTTATGTGTGGACGGAACTGTGCTGCTTATCATCATAAATATTCAAAAGATGTATATCAATCCTAAAACAAACACTGTGGTGACTTAACACGCCTGCCTATTGTACACTTTACCATGCCTGCCTATTGTATACTTTACCACGCCTGCCTATTGTATAATTTACCACGCCTGCCTATTGTACACTTTACCACACCTGCCTATTGTATACTTTACCACGCCTGCCTATTGTACACTTTACCACGCCTGCTTATTGTATACTATCGCAACACATCTGGGTTTTCCGAGGTTATAGGCCATGCTATTCGTCTATCGGTATTATGTATAGGTTAAGTGCCAGTGATTATAGTCTCTTCCCCACTCGTAGTTAGAAATCGTCATTGGTAGTTGATGCTAGCAAGGTGATAGTTAAAGTCATCCCTCCTGCTGCAAGCATTTCAGAGACAATGCGAGGACTACTGTTCAAATTTCTGCGGTCTTAATCTGTGAGGAAACCGGAGTACCCGGAAAAAGCCCACGGGGTCGGGCAGGTGACCCCATGCCTTTTCACGTCCGATCGTGGAATTGAACCCTGGCCGTCTTTGTGACAGGTGAGTCGCTATCCACTGCGCCACCCGACCATCCTAAGAAGATATTTTACAACTGACAAGGTAAAATTGGTTGTGTTGTGCTATTGCTGAAGACTGTTTGTAGAAGGCATTTGTTTGTTAATTCCTTACCCTTCCTATTTAGAGATTACGCTCCTTTATCCTACACTAAGAATAGATACATAGTTCACGAAATGGAAGTTTCGGTTTGTGAAGTATAGCCACATATAGAAATCAAATTTCCACATTTTGTATCATGTACTTTATTGTTGATATAAAACATGTAGTATCAGATGAGAGACATGGGACATATTTGGGCATCACACCTGTCGTATGTAGTACATTATTATTCAGTAGGTGTTTACGACATGTACACAGAGAATAATACATGCCTTTTTCCATATCCCACCCGGTGTCAACCCGAGACTCCAATATCAGCCAGAGGGCCGAAGGCTGATATTGGTCGAGGGTTGATACTGGTCGAGGGTTGATACTGTTCGAGGGTTGATACTGGTCGAGGGTTGATACTGGTCGAGGGTTGATACTGTTCGAGGGTTGATAATGGTCGAGGGTTGATACTGGTCGAGGTTTGATACTGGTCGAGGGTTGATACTGGGTGTGATATGGAAAATGGCCTGTTTAGTATGTGTATTACATACATATTAATAAGATACGGATATATCTACTATCTTATGATGCATTTTTCTTTGAAATATTGAAAAAAGAAAAATTTGCTAACGATAAACAACAATAACTCGATTATAATATATTTATAACATTTGTAGTGATTTTGATTCAGTAGGTTTCCTTACTTTAATCCGAATCGCTGTCACGAGACTACAGTGTTTGCTCTACCCCCAGTCGTCGCCGTTTCCAGCATCAGTCATTGCTAAACCGTTGTTATAAAGGGGTTCCGAATGACGTTGCTGGTGGTAGATGGGGAAAATTAGAAAAGGGGTGTGATACGGGTTTGATATGGGTTGTGTCGTATTCCATGTACAAAGAAAAAACACCGTATTTATTAGTAAGTATGTAATAAATCGGACAAGAAAACTACGAAAAAGGAGCAGGTCACTCTTGGTAACTCAGTAATTTCTGCAATACCGCTGTCACTGAAAGTCTACGTAAACTCATAGCCAACATTACAGAGTATGAACATTAGACAGTACTGTATATATGTAAACCTGTCACTAATGTGAACGGATAAAGTAAGATCGCTAAATGGAATTGATATCTGTTAAAAATAGTTTATAATGGAGTTAAAGTCTTGTGAAAATAGACTGCACTGGAATAACTCATTTTGGTAAAAATATATTACATTGGACTTATTGTCTACTAAAAGAAACCACATCGGAATAAATAGCATGTGGGTAAAACATGTTATACTCTGTTTGTCCGGCACAGGGAGAAAATAGACGTGTGTCGTATTTGTTGTTATATCTTCTGGTCATCCCAGTGAGGCCAACACTTGACCTTCAGCCTTTCAATATAGTCGAGTAAGTTCGGACATTCCTCACGGATAACCTTCATCATTGGAAAGTCCAATGGGACACATGTAATCTGGGTCAGGACGGCGAACAGAGTGCAGTCTACCTATAGGACATAAAAACATGGAGACGAATGTTATTTTAAAAATTAAGTAATATAAGAAAAGGGTCCATTTTGACATAAGTATACGTCTTTTAAGACATAAGAAAACGTAACTTATGACATAAAAAGGTTCCTGTTAGACATCAGAAAACGTCCTTTATGACATCGGGAATGTCCTTTTAGACATAAGAGAATGCTCATTATGACATAAAAACGTCCTTATGACACAAGAAAACGTCTTTTAGGACATAACAACGATTTTAATATATTTGTCAAAATATTTAAATAAGTGTTTCTTATTATAAATCGGCTTACTGTCCATCGAATTAATTTGATGGTGCCACAAAATACGACGTCACATGAACGTCATAATTTACAAGTGAATGTGTTATATTTGATAGTGAAAATCATCGACTATACCGAAGTTCCTCTTTAGACAGAAAGTAAAATCTGTCTGGGTACAAGGATAGAAAGTTAAATATGTCTGGGTACAAGGATAAAAAGTAAAACCTGTCTGGGTACAAGGATAGAAAGTAAAACCTGTCTGGGTACAAGGATAGAAAGTTAAATTTGTCTGGGTACAAGGAAAGAAAGTTAAATCTGTCTGGGTACAAGGATAGAAAGTTAAACCTGTCTGGGTACAAGGATAGAAAGTTAAATCTGTCTGGGTACAAGGATAGAAAGTTATATCTGTCTGGGTGCAAGGATAGACAGATAAATCTGTCTGGGTACAAGGATAGAAAAGTAAAATTTGTCTGGGTACAAGGATAACAATTTTAAATATGCCTGGGTACAAGGATATAAATTTAAATGTGTCTGAGTACTAGGATAGAAAGTAAAATGTGTCTGGGTACAAGGATAGAAAGTATAATCTGTCTGGGTGCAAGGATAGACAGATAAATCTGTCTGGGTACAAGGATAGAAAGGAAAATCTGTCTGGGTACAAGGATAGAAAGTTATATTTGTCTGGGTACAAGGATAGAAAGTTAAACCTGTCTGGGTACAAGGATAGAAAGTTATATCTGTCTGGGTGCAAGGATAGACAGATAAATCTGTCTGGGTACAGGGATAGAAAGTAAAATCTGTCTGGGTACAAGGATAGAAAGTTAAATTTGTCTGGGTACAATGATAGAAAGTTAGATCTTTACTGGGTACAAGGATAAAAAAGTAAAATCTGTCTGGGAACAAGGATATAAAGTTAAGTCTGTCTGGGTACAAGCATAGAAAGTAAAATCTGTCTGGGTGCAAGGATAGACAGATAAATCTGTCTGGGTACAAGGATAGAAAGTAAAATCTGTCTGGGTACAAGGATAGAAAGTTATATTTGTCTGGGTACAAGGATAGAAAGTCAAACCTGTCTGGGTACAAGGATAGAAAGTTGAATATGTCTGGGTGCAAGGATAGAAAGTAAAATATGTCTTAGTACAAGGATAGAAAGTTAAATCTGTCTGGGTGCAAGGATATAAAGTTAAGTCTGCCTGGGTACAAGGATAGAAAGTTAAAACTGTCTGGGTACAAGGATAGAAAGTTAAATCTGTCTTGGAACAAGGATAGAAATTTAAACTTGTCTGGGTACAAGGATTGGGTACAAGGATAGAAAGATAAATCTGCCTAGGTACAAGGAACGCAAACGTAAAACCTGTCTGGGGACAAGTATAGAAAGTTAAAACTGTCTGGGTACAATGATAGAAAGTTAGATCTTTACTGGGTACAAGGATAGACAGTCAAACCTGTCTGGGAACAAGAATAGAAAGACAAACCTGTCTGGGTACCATGATAGAAAGTTAGATCTTTACTGGGTACATGGATAGAAAGTAAAATCTGACTGGGTACAAGGATAGAAAATTAAATCTGTCTGGGTACTAGGATAGAAAGTAAAATGTGTCTGGGTACAATGATAGAAAGTTAGATCTTTACTGGGTACATGGATAGAAAGTAAAATCTGTCTGGGTACAATGATAGAAAGTTAGATCTTTACTGGGTACATGGATAGAAAGTAAAATCTGTCTGCGTACAAGGATAGAAAAAATGAATCTGTCTGGGATCAATGATAGAAAGTTGAATATGTTTGGGTACAAGGATAGAGAGTTGAATATGTCTGGGAGCAAGGATAGAAAGTAAAACCTGTATGGGTACAAGAATAGAATGTAAAACCTGTCTGGGTACAATGATAGAAAGTTAGATCTGTCTGAGTGCAAGGACATAAAGTTAAGTCTGTCTGGGTACAAGGTTAGAAAGTTAGATCTGTCTTGGTACAAGTGTAGAAATTTAAATCTGTCTGGGTACTAGGATAGAAATATAAATCTGTCTGGGTACAAGGTTAGAAAGTTAGATCTGTCTTGGTACAAGTGTAGAAATTTAAATCTGTCTGGGTACTAGGATAGAAAGTAAAATATGTCTTGGTACAAGAAAGTTAAATATGTGTTGGTACAAGGAGAGAAAGGTAAATTTGTCTGGGTTCAATGATAGAAAGTTGAATATGGTTGGGTACAAGGATAGAGAGTTGAATATGTCTGGGTGCAAGGATAGAAAGTAAAATGTGTCTGGGTACAAGGAAAGAAAGTAAAATTTCTCTGGGTACAAGGATAGACAGTCAAACCTGTCTGGGAACAATGATAGAAAGTTAGATCTTTACTGGGTACAAGGATAGACAGTCAAACCTGTCTGGGCACAATGATAGAAAGTTAGATCTGTCTGAGTGCAAGGATATAAAGTTAAGTTTGTCTGGGTACAAGGATAACAATTTTAAATATGCCTGGGTACAAGGATATAAAGTTAAGTCTGTCTGGGTACAAGGTTAGAAAGTTAGATCTGTCTTGGTACAAGTGTAGAAATTTAAATCTGTCTGGGTACAATGATAGAAAGTTAGATCTTTACTGGGTACATGGATAGAAAGTAAAATCTGACTGGGTACAAGGATAGACAGTCAAACCTGTCTGGGTGCAAGGATAAACAGATAAATCTGTCTGGGTACAAGGATAGAAAGTTAAATATGTGTGGGTACAAGAAGAGAAAGTTAAACCTGTCTGGGTACAAGGATAGAAAAAATGAATCTGTCTGGGTTCAATGATAGAAAGTTGAATATGGTTGGGTACAAGGATAGAAAGTAAAACCTGTCTGGGTACAAGGAGAGAAAGTTAAATTTGTCTGGGTTCAATGATAGAAAGTAAAATCTGTCTGGGTACAAGGATAGAAAGTAAAATCTGTCTGGGTACAAGGATAGAAAGTTAAATATGTCTGGGTACAAGGATAGAAAGTTAAATCTGTCTGGGTACAAGGATAGAAAGTTAAATATGTGTGGGTACAAGGAGAGAAAGTTAAATCTGTCTGCGTAAAAGGATAGAAAAAATGAATCTGTCTGGGTACAAGGATAGAAAGTTAAATATGTCTAGGTACAGGATAGAAAGTTAAATCTGTCTAGGTACAAGGATAGCAAACGTAAAACCTGACTGGGTACAAGGATAGAAAGTTAAATTTGTCTGGGTTCAATGATAGAAAGTAAAATCTGTCTGGGTACAAGGATAGAAAGTTAAATATGCCTGGGTACAAGGATATAAATTTAAATGTGTCTGGGTACTAGGATAGAAAGTAAAATGTGTCTGGGTACAAGGATAGAAAGTAAAACCTGTCTGGGTACAAGGATAGAAAGTTATATCTGTCTGGGTGCAAGGATAGACAGATAAATCTGTCATGGTACAAGGAAAGAAAGTAACATTTCTCTGGGTACAAGGATAACAATTTTAAATATGCCTGGGTACAAGGATATAAAGTTAAGTCTGTCTGGGTACAAGGATAGAAAGTAAAATATGTCTGGGTGCAAGGATAGACCGATAAATCTGTCTGGGAACAAGGATAGAAAGTAAAATCTGTCTGGGTACAAGGATAGAAAGTTATATCTGTCTGGGTACAAGGATAGAAAGTCAAACCTGTCTGGGTGCAAGGATAGAAAGTTGAATATGTCTGGGTGCAAGGATAGAAAGTAAAATATGTCTTGGTACAAGGATAGAAAGTTAGATCTGTCTGGGTGCAAGGATATAAAGTTAAGTCTGTCTGGGTACAAGGATAGAAAGTTAAATCTGTCTTGGTACAAGGATAGAAATTTAAACCTGTCTGGGTACAAGAATAGAAAGTCAAACCTGTCTGGGTACAATGATAGAAAGTTAGATCTTTACTGGGTACAAGGATAGAAAGTAAAATCTGTCTGGGAACAAGGATATAAAGTAAAACCTGTCTGGGTACAAGGATAGAAAGTAATATGTGTCTGGGTACAAGGATAGAAAGTTAAACCTGTCTGGGTACAAGGATAGAAAGTAAAACCTGTCTGGGTACAAGGATAGAAAGTAAAACCTGTCTGGGTACAAGGATAGAAAGTTAAATTTGTCTGGGTTCAATGATAGAAAGTAAAATCTGTCTGGGTACAAGGATAGAAAGTAAAATCTGTCTGGGTACAAGGATAGAAAGTAAAATCTGTCTGGGTACAAGGATAGAAAGTTAAATATGTGTGGGTACAAGGAGAGAAAGTTAAATCTGTCTGCGTACAAGGATAGAAAAAAATGAATCTGTCTGGGTTCAATGATAGAAAGTTGAATATGGTTGGGTACAAGGATAGAAAGTTAAATCTGTCTAGGTACAAGGATCGAAAAATGAATCTGTCTGGGTACAGGATAGACAGTTAAATATGGTTGGGTACAAGGATAGAAAGTTAAATCTGTCTGGGTACAAGGATCGAAAAATTAATCTGTCTGGGTACAGGATAGAAAGTTAAATATGTCTGGGTACAAGGATAGAAAGTAAAACCTGGCTGGGTACAAGGATAGAAAGTAAAACCTGTCTGTGTACAAGGATAGAAAGTAAAACCTGGCTGGGTACAAGGATAGAAAGTAAAACCTGTCGGGGTACAAGGATAGAAAGTAAAACCTGGCTGGGTACAAGGATAGAAAGTAAAATATGTCTTGGTACAAGGATAGAAAGTTAGATCTGTCTGGGTGCAAGGATATAAAGTTAAGTCTGTCTGGGTACAAGGATAGAAAGTTATAGCTGTCTGGGTGCAAGGATAGACAGATAAATCTGTCTGGGTACAAGGATAGAATGTTAAATATGTGAGGGTACAAGGAGAGAAAGTCAAATCTGTCTGCGTACAAGGATAGAAAAAAATGAATCTGTCTGGGTCCAAGGATAGAAAGTAAAACCTGTCTGTGTACAAGGATAGAAAGTAAAACCTGTCTGTGTACAAGGATAGAAAGTAAAACCTGTCTGGGCACAAGGATAGAAAGTAAAACCTGTCTGGGTACATGGATAGAAAGTAAAACCTGTCTGGGCACAAGGATAGAAAGTTAAATATGTCTGCGTACAAGGATAGAAAAATGAATCTGTCTGGGCACAAGGATAGAAAGTTAAATATGTCTGCGTACAAGGATAAGAGAAAGTTAAATCTGTCTGCGTACAAGGATAGAAAAATGAATCTGTCTGGGCACAAGGATAGAAAGTAAAACCTGTCTGTGTACAAGGATAGAAAGTAAAACCTGGCTGGGTACAAGGATAGAAAGTAAAACCTGTCGGGGTACAAGGATAGAAAGTAAAACCTGTCGGGGTACAAGGATAGAAAGTAAAACCTGTCTGGGTACAATGATAGAAAGTAAAACCTGTCTGGGTACATGGATAGAAAGTAAAACCTGTCTGGGCACAAGGATAGAAAGTTAAATATGTCTGCGTACAAGGATAGAAAAATGAATCTGTCTGGGCACAAGGATAGAAAGTAAAACCTGTCGGGGTACAAGGATAGAAAGTAAAACCTGTCTGGGCACAAGGATAGAAAGTAAAACCTGTCGGGGTACAAGGATAGAAAGTAAAACCTGTCTGTGTACAAGGATAGAAAGTAAAACCTGGCTGGGTACAAGGATAGAAAGTAAAATATGTCTGGGTGCAAGGATAGACAGATAAATCTGTCTGGGTACAAGGAAAGAAAGTAAAATTTCTCTGGGTACAAGGATAACAATTTTAAATATGCCTGGGTACAAGGATATAAATTTAAATGTGTCTGGGAACTAGAATAGAAAGTAAAATGTGTCTGGGTACAAGGATAGAAAGTTATAGCTGTCTGGGTGCAAGGATAGACAGATAAATCTGTCTGGGTACAAGGATAGAATGTTAAATATGTGAGGGTACAAGGAGAGAAAGTCAAATCTGTCTGCGTACAAGGATAGAAAAAAATGAATCTGTCTGGGTCCAAGGATAGAAAGTAAAACCTGTCTGGGTACATGGATAGAAAGTAAAACCTGTCTGGGCACAAGGATAGAAAGTAAAACCTGTCGGGGTACAAGGATAGAAAGTAAAACCTGTCTGGGCACAAGGATAGAAAGTAAAACCTGTCGGGGTACAAGGATAGAAAGTAAAACCTGTCTGTGTACAAGGATAGAAAGTAAAACCTGGCTGGGTACAAGGATAGAAAGTAAAACCTGGCTGGGTACAAGGATAGAAAGTAAAACCTGGCTGGGTACAAGGATAGAAAGTAAAATATGTCTGGGTGCAAGGATAGATAGATAAATCTGTCTGGGTACAAGGAAAGAAAGTAAAATTTCTCTGGGTACAAGGATAACAATTTTAAATATGCCTGGGTACAAGGATATAAATTTAAATGTGTCTGGGAACTAGAATAGAAAGTAAAATGTGTCTGGGTACAAGGATAGAAAGTTAAACCTGTCTGGGTACAAGGATAGAAATTAAAACCTGTCTGGGTACAAGGATAGAAATTAAAACCTGTCTGGGTACAAGGATATAAAGTAAAACCTGTCTGGGTACCAGGATAGAAAGTAATATGTGTCTGGGTACAAGGATAGAAAGTTATATTTGTCTGGGTGCAAGGATAGAAAGTCAAACCTGTCTGGGTGCAAGGATAGAAAGTTAAATATGTCTGCGTACAAGGATAAGAGAAAGTTAAATCTGTCTGCGTACAAGGATAGAAAAATGAATCTGTCTGGGCACAAGGATAGAAAGTTAAATATGTCTGGGTAACAGGATAGAAAGTTCAATCTGTCTGGGTACGAGGATAGAAAGTTAAATATGTCTGGGTACCAGGATAGAAAGTTCAATCTGTCTGGGTACGAGGATAGAAAGTTAAATATGTCTGGGTACAAGGAGAGAAAGTAAAACCTGTCTGGGTACATGGATAGAAAGTAAAACCTGTCTGGGCACAAGGATAGAAAGTTAAATATGTCTGCGTACAAGGATAGAAAAATGAATCTGTCTGGGTTCAATGATAGAAAGTTAAATCTGTCTGGGTGCAAGGATAGAAAGTTGAATATGTCTGGGTGCAAGGATCCTGTTTGGGTACAAGGATAGAAAGTTAAATTTGCCTGGGTACAAGGATAGAAAGTTAAAACTGTGTGGGTACAAGGATAGAAAGTTAAATATGCCTGGGTACAAGGATATAAAGTTAAGTCTGTCTGGGTACAAGGATAGAAAGTCAAACCTGTCTGGGTGCAAGGATAGAAAGTTAAATATGTCTGGGTAACAGGATAGAAAGTTCAATCTGTCTGGGTACGAGGATAGAAAGTTAAATATGTCTGGGTACCAGGATAGAAAGTTCAATCTGTCTGGGTACGAGGATAGAAAGTTAAATATGTCTGGGTACAAGGATAGAAAGTAATATGTGTCTGGGTACAAGGATATAAATTTAAATGTGTCTGGGAACTAGAATAGAAAGTAAAATGTGTCTGGGTACAAGGATAGAAAGTTATATTTGTCTGGGTGCAAGGATAGAAAGTCAAACCTGTCTGGGTGCAAGGATAGAAAGTTGAATATGTCTGGGTGCAAGGATAGAAAGTAAAATATGTCTTGGTACAAGGATAGAAAGTTAAATCTGTCGGGTACAAGGATAGAAAGTAAAATATGTCTTGGTACAAGGATAGAAAGTTAAATCTGTCTAGGTACAAGGATAGCAAACGTAAAACCTGATTGGGTACAAGGATAGAAAGTTAAATATGTCTGGGTACCAGGATAGAAAGTTCAATCTGTCTGGGTACTAGGATAGAAATATAAATCTGTCTGGGTACAAGGATAGAAAGTTAAATTTGTCTGGGTTCAAGGATAGAAATTTAAATCTGTCGGGGTACAAGGATAGAAATTTAAACCTGTCTGGGTACAAGGATAGAAATTTAAACCTGTCTGCGTACAAGCAAGCTGGCCCCTGTCTTCTGTATTATTTCTTACCATATTTAATATCAATCTATCATTATTCTATTATTTAAGGAATAACCAGGATTATTTTTGAGGTTTTATGAAATAAATTCGTGCACTTCGCATAAATCCGCGAAGCGGTTTATACACAGCGGAATAATGCACAAAACTGCACACTGTTTTACGGCATATATCGTAACTTTTTGCGTGTTCATATCTTACGTATTTGGTTGTGTGACTACGTGTTACGTCTATGACTGACAAAGGCTGACAAACTGAACATAGCTGTAAAATTATTGATATAATTATTTCTGAATAGCTTAAAAGTATTGATTCGTACTCCTTCGTTTTTAAAAGACGTTTGTTCGTTTCTTAGTTACCTGTTCATCTTATGTTCAATGGTGAAAGCAATGCTTACATATTGCAGCCATGTTTTAAACCCATACAAACAGGGGTATTGCTTCACTATCGCGTTTTAATGGACTCCTCATTTGACCCCCTTACCTTTTCCCCAGGCTATAGTCGACATCATAAATATGCACTCTGTCGCCATTAATACCTGGTCTACTTTTAGGATGAAAACCAGACAAAGAGTGCTAAGATGTGTTTTGACTTTCGATATCGTGAAATTTGTTTATGAACTTTTACATTGAATTAGATCCTTACCAATGTTGGTGTATTTCCGAGAAAATATATCTTCGGTCCAAGGAAGGTTGAAATAGCTCTGACGTCGTCACACCCTATCTTGTAGATTTCTTCGTTACTATGGCGACCAATGCCATGGCTCCAAGCTCGGTCTTTCACCTGAACGCGAAACATTGAGATTATAGACAAAACTGGCTGTAAATAAAAAAGTATGACCAAGTCCTTTCCGTCAGAAAAGATGTCCCTCAAAAGTCAAGCATTCAACTTACTAGTACCATTCCACGGTAATCACGGTTATGACCAAGAAATTCTCGGGACGACACAAAAAAGTCCTTAAAATGGTTGTTCTTATTCCATGTTTAACGTTTAAGATTTGACGGAAGCGCAGCAACTGATTAACCCGTTGTCAGCATAACGTAACTGGATGGAATGCTGCCCTGTGTGACTTCGGCATGTTATTTCAGTGAGGTAGCACTCTAAAGTCGGTGTCAGATCGTGCTAATGCAGGGAGGCCAATACACCATCCAGTCGCCTAAAGCACTCACATTCATTACACAAATGGGGGTACGTTCTTAAATGGGCCAAACTGTTAAAATACGCCAAATCCAATCAAACCAAACCTAACCAAGATATTCTATAAAATCAATATTTATTGTATCAACCCCAATAAATGTTAATTTCGGTTGAGTATCTGTCATCGTGCCTATACGCCTGGTAAAAAAATCATTATCACATGTCATGATTTCAAAGAAAAGATGACATGCTATCGAAAAGAGGAATTATCTGTTACCGGTTTATCACGAATAATTGTCCTTTTAATTATCTTGGACTGAGTTCATCACAATCAGTTAGGTTAAAGTATTCTTCCTTGTTTTAGATTTTAAGAAAGCGCGCGCACCACTTGGAACAGCGGCAACCGCAGCTTTGTGTTTCTATTCTAACCACACACACACACACACACACACACACACACATACCTACCCACAACAACCGGCCCTATAAATAGCTTTCCAAAAAGGTGCTTACGTATATAGTTGTAAATTTGCCATTCACTCATTATCGTTACAAACAAGTCATATCACTAAGTAGTAGTAAGATGTATAAACATTGTCCATTCTTACTATATATGATTTCTGTCCTCATAAAGAATGGGAACATAAAACGAACAAATAAATAAATAAATGTCAAATTACGATACCGAAATATCATTATTTAGAATTTGACGTACATATTTTCCGAGATCCTTTCCAGCCTTTTCGTTCATCTCCTCGTCATCATGAAATTTCACATATTTCATATACTCCGGCAGGTGGTGGACGTAACGGTACCAGTATATAGTCCTGAAAAATGTCTCAGATCCTTTAAAAAGACCTCAAGTAAGATAACATAGTGTAAGATAACATAGTGTAAGATAACAAAGTGTAAGATAACATAGTTAAAGAGAACAAAGTGTAAGATAACATAGTGTAAGATAACATAGTGTAAGATAACATAGTGTAAGATAACAAAGTGAAAGATAACAAAGTGTAAGATAACATAGTTAAAGAGAACAAAGTGTAAGATAACATAGTGTAAGATAAAGTGTAAGATAACATAGTGTAAGATAACATAGTGTAAGATAACATAGTGTAAGATAACAAACTGTAAGATAACAAAGTGTAAGATAACATAGTGTAGGATAACAAAGTGTCAGATAACATAGTGTAAGATAACAAAGTGTAAGATAAAATAGTGTAAGATAACAAAGTGTAAGATAACAAAGTGTTAGAGAACATAGTGTAAGATAATAAAGTGTAAGATAACAAAGTGTAAGATAACAAAGTGTAAGATAACATAGTGTAAGATAACAAAGTGTAAGATAACAAAGTGTAAGAGAACATAGTGTAAGATAACAAAGTGTAAGATAACAAAGTGTAAGATATCATAGTATAAGATAACATAGTGTAAGAGAGTAAGATATCATAGTGTAAGATAATAAAGTGTAAGATAACAAAGTGTAAGATAACAAAGTGTAAGATAACATAGTGTAAGATAACAAAGTGTAAGATAGCATTGTGTAAGATAACAAAGTGTAAGATAACAAAGTGTAAGATAATATAGTGTAAGATAACAAAGTGTAAGATAATAAAGTGTCAGATAACAAAGTGTAAGATAAATCGTGTAAGTAAACAAAGAGTAAGATATCATAGTGTAAGATAATAAAGTGTAAGATAACAAAGAGTAAGATAACAAAGTGTAAGATATCATAGTGCAAGATAATAAAGTGTAAGATAACATAGTGTAAGATAACAAAGTGTTAGATAGCATAGTATAAGATAACAAAGTGTAAGATAACATAGTGTAATATAACATAGTGTAAGATAACAGTGTAATAAAACAAAGTGTAAGTTAACAAAGTTTAATATAACAAAGTGTAAGATAACATAGTGCAATATATCAAAGTGTAAGATAACAAAGTGTAAGGTAACATAGTTAAAGATAACAAAGTGTAATATAACATAGTGTAATATAACATTGTACTATAACAAAGTGTAAGATAACAAAGTATAATGTAAGATAACATAGTTAAAGATAACAAAGTGTAATATAACATAGTGTAATATAACATTGTACTATAACAAAGTGTAAGATAACAAAGTAAGTATAATAAAGCATAGTTAAAGATAACAAAGTGTAAGATAACATAGGGTAAGATAACAAAGTGTAAGATAGCAAAGTGTAAAATAGCATAGTTAAAGATAACAAAGTGTAATATAACATAGTGTAATATAACATTGTACATGTAGATAACAGTGTAATATAACAAAGTATAAGATAACAAAGTGTAAGATAACATAGTGTAAGAGTGTAATATAACAAAGTGTATGATAGTAAAGTGTAAGATAACAAAGTGTAAGAAGTGTAAGATAACAAAGTGTAAGATGGCATAGTATAAGATAACATAGTGCAAGATAACAAAGTGTAAGATAACAAAGCGTAAGATAGCATAGTATAAGATAACATAGTGTAAGAAAACAAAGTGTAAGATAACAGAGTGTAATATAACATAGTTAAAGATAACGAAGTGTAAGATAACATAGTGTAAGAGTGTAATATAACAAAGTGTATGATAGTAAAGTGTAAGATAACAAAGTGTAAGAAGTGTAAGATAACAAAGTGTAAGATGTAAGATAGCAAAGTGTAAGATAGCATAGTTAAAGATAACGAAGTGTAAGATAACATAGTGTAAGAGTGTAATATAACAAAGGTTATGATAGCAAAGTGTAAGATAACAAAGTGTAAGGTAACATAGTTAAAGATAACAAAGTGTAATATAACATAGTGTAATATAACATTGTACTATAACAAAGTGTAAGATAACAAAGTATAATGTAAGATAACATAGTTAAAGATAACAAAGTGTAATATAACATAGTGTAATATAACATTGTACTATAACAAAGTGTAAGATAACAAAGTGCAAGATAATATAGTGTAAGATAACAGTGTAAGATAATATAGTGTAAATAGTATAAGATAACATAGTGTAAGATAATAAAGTGTAAAATAACAAAGTGTAAGATAACAAAGTGCAAGATAATATAGTGTAAGATAACAGTGTACGATAATATAGTGTAAGATAACTAATTGTAAGATAAATCGTGTAAGATAACAAAGTGTATGATAACATAGTGTAAGATAATAAAGTGTAAGATACCATAGTGTAAGAGTGTAATATAACAAAGTGTATGATAGCAAAGTGTAAGATAACAAAGTGTAATATAACATAGTGTAATATAACATTGTACATGTAGATAACAGTGTAATATAACAAAGTGTAAGTTGTCAAAGTGTAATATAACAAAGTGTATGATAGCAAAATGTAAGATAACAAAGTGTAAGATAAATCGTGTAAGATAACAAAGTGTATGATAACATAGTGTAAGATAATAAAGTGTAAGATAACAAAGAGTAAGATAACAAAGTGTAAGATATCAAAGTGTAAGATAACAAAGTGTAATATAACATAGTGTAATATAACATTGTACATGTAGATAACAGTGTAATATAACAAAGTGTAAGTTGTCAAAGTGTAATATAACAAAGTGTATGATAGCAAAATGTAAGATAACAAAGTGTAAGATAATGTAAGATAGCATAGTTAAAGATAACGAAGTGTAAGATAACATAGTGTAAGATAACATAGGGTAAGATAACAAAGTGTAAGATAGCAAAGTGTAAGATAACATAGTGTAAGATAACAAAGTGTAAGATAGCATTGTGTTAGATAACAAAGTGTAAGATAACAAAGTGTAAGATAATATAGTGTAAGATAACAGTGTAAGATAATATAGTGTAAGATAACAAAGTGTAAGATAAATCGTGTAAGATAACAAAGTGTATGATATCATAGTGTAAGATAATAAAGTGTAAGATAACAAAGTGTAAGAGAATAAAGTGTAAGATAACATAGTGCAATATAACAAAGTGTAAGATAAAATAGTGTAAGATATCATAGTGTAAGATAATAAAGTGTAAGATAACAAAAAGTGTAAGATAACAAAGTGCAAGATAATATAGTGTAAGATAACTAATTGTAAGATAAATCGTGTAAGATAACAAAGTGTATGATATCATAGTGTAAGATAATAAAGTGTAAGATAACAAAAAGTGTAAGATAACAAAGTGCAAGATAATATAGTGTAAGATAACTAATTGTAAGATAAATCGTGTAAGATAACAAAATGGATGATACCATAGTGTAAGATAATAAAGCGTAAGATAACAAAGTGTAAGAGAATAAAGTGTAAGATAACATAGTGTAATATAGCAAAGTGTAAGATAACAAAGGGTAAGATAACAAAGTGTAAGAAAACAAAGTGTAAGTTAACAAAGTTTAATATAACAAAGTGTAAGATTTCAAATTGTAAGATACCATAGTGTAAGATAACAAAGGGTAAGATAACAAAGTGTAAGATATCAAAATGTAAGATAACATAGTGTAATATAGCAAAGTGTAAGATAACATAGTGCAATATAACAAAGTGAAAAATAACATGGTGAAAGATAACATAGGGTAAGATAACATAGTCTAATATAACAAAGTGTAAGATAATATAGTGCAATATAACAAAGTGTAAGATAACATAGTGTAAGATAACATAGGGTAAGATAACATAGTGTAATATAACAAAGTGTAAGATATCAAATTGTAAGATAACATAGTGTAATATAACAAAGTGTAAGATAACAAAGTGTAAGATAACATAGTGTAATATAACATAGTGTAAGATAACAGTGTAATAAAACAAAGTGTAAGTTAACAAAGTTTAATATAACAAAGTGTAAGATAACATAGTGTAAGATAACAAAGTGTAAGATAACAAAGTGTAAGATAACAAAGTGTAAGATAACAAAGTGTAGGATAACATAGTGTAATATAACAAAGTGTAAGATAACAAAGTGTAATATAACATAGTGTAATATAACATTGTACATGTCCATTGGTTTACACTCTGTCTGAAATTAAATTGCCGTTTTGGGGGTTTAAAAAAATGTAAAAAGACTAAGTTGTTTCACTTATTTGTTTCGGGACGAAAAGAGAAGAATTATTCACCTTTAATTTTCGTTCTTTTGTTTTTTTCGTGGCGAGTAGACGAATGAATAAGATTTACTTTTTTTTCAGTTTTGTCTTTTGGGTCAAAGGAACAAAACAATGAGAATTAATCGCCGTTAATTTTGATCTTTTCTGAGCGAAAAAACTAGATTCAGTAGCTTTTAATTCTCGTTGTTTCTTTCTTTCATTTTCAAAAGACGACAAGAGGAAAAATTAATTAACCTCGTCTTTTCGTTGTTTCGTCGTATCTCCCCGAAATGAACAAACCTGAATGCTCGTTCTGTGTCTCTTCACCCCGAAACGACGAGATTTCACACAACTGAATTCTCGTTCTTTCGAATTTTTACCCCAAAATACGAGAATAAACAAATCTTAATACTTTGTTTTCTTCGTACCGCTGTTTATGATATTTCTATCCTACATATGTTCATATTAAGTAGGTCATATAATATATGATATTCTCCCATCACGTTATATTATACATAGAAAACAATCAATTTCCCTTAGAGTTACATGCAAAACATTCTTATGTGACGTCATAATTAGAAGATTAACCAATGGAATCACGTCCAGTGTGTTGCCAACAGTGGGTAAGAACACATCCAATGAGTTTGGAGTGAGAAATCCTATAGTGGTTGTGGGAGAAAAGAGGTTTATTAACATACCAGGCTGTGTTTTCCTCCACCATTTTTAAGAAAGATCTCCCAACTGCCCTGAGTTCGGAGGACGCATCCGGGTAAATTTCTTTGTTGAAATACGCCGACAACATCTCTATGATGAAGTTAGTATCTGGTATCTCCTCCTCATTGAACAGAATGAATGGGTTCTGCCTTTTCCTCGAGAATCCGCTATGGTCTATGACCTGATTGTGGTGAATGAAAAAGGAAAAAAACTGGAAAAAATTGAACAGCGATTGTCTACCACTCATTTCAACATCGAACCAATTGACAGACTAATGGCTACTCCACTAGATACCAACATGCTGGTTATACTAGTAACAGAGGTCAACAGGAATCAAATAGGGCTTGAACGTCATTAATTTTCATTCATACCGGCATGAACATTGAAAAAATGCCATTCAATCCTTATATCTACATTCTAAATAGTTAGTTATTATTGACCTAAGATATAGATATTCCCTTATATTTATATTCTAAATAGTTAGTTATTATTGACCTAAGATATCGTTATTCCCTTATATTTATATTCTAAATAGTTAGTTATTATTGACCTATACATAGATATTCCCTTATATTTACATTCTAAATAGTTAGTTATTATTGACCTAGATATAGATATTACCTATTATTTTCGATATTGAAGTGTCTGTGTCGTTAGTGCATACATCTGGCGAACTTTGACCGAAACTGTTTGAAAATGTGTTACATAATTGGAAATATAACGAAAGGTAAACGTAGGGGAACTATTTGTTGCGAATGATTTACGAAGTGTGACAAACGGTTACTGTTATTCGCTAGAATGTGTTGGGTCGCGCAAACTCTTTGTTCTTTCCGTTAGCGATTAGGAACGCAAACTTTCGAACCGAAACGTGCGCGTGCTTCTGAAGCCGTCCGAAGCTTTCCGAAAGGGTATTTCCGTATCCGTTACCGGACGCTATACAAGACTGGCGAAAATGTGCCTTCTAACTTTCTCCGACTCGACACCACATCGTATTGCTGTTACAATGTAAGTGCAAAAAAAAGTATGGCAAAACTTCAAGGTTTTTGTTGTGTCTCAATTACCGGAAGTTGGAATGAAATTAAAACTTCCGGTAATTAAGACTTATCAAAATAGTCCCTGCAACTTGGAGCCAGCGAAGTTCGACTGTATGGTTGGCCAAAAAAATGATGGTTACCTTTTATATCTTTCCTTTATCTCATAATCAAATTATAAGCAAATGTGATCAAATAATAAATGATATTCAAAATGTGATAAATGTAACATGCCATTTTTACCGCATTAAATATTATTATTATTCTTATTTATTTAAATTTAAATATGTTTTATTAGATGCCTCCTCTCTATTTGTATCTTTTACAGCATGAACATATCTTGTTTAATTAATGAAACCTTATTTTATGTATGTTTTATTTGTTATGTCGATTGTAAAAGCTCACCAAACGAGCTTGTGTTATCTTTGTAATCATATCGACGTTAATTAAAATTTACTTGACTTGACTTGACATGACCTAGAATCGGTTGGCCAAAATGCCAAAGGCGTTTTCTGATACCCTCCAAGCCGGCAGCTAGTCTGAATATCACCAAAGCCGTGTCTTTCTTGCACTCAGGTGTGGTACCACTTGTTATCTTTTCTAGCGAAGCTCCAAATAAGGTAAATACGACCGAGCTACTCGGTCCAGGGTAGGGAAGGGATGTAAGACATTTATTTCATCCACCCTTCACAGGTGTGTCTAACTTTTAAGCCGGAAAAGATCAGCTTGTCACCCCTTAAGGGGAGATAGCTTCGTGCAGAATGGCGCGATCTAAGTCATAACAATAGTATGACGTCACGTCAACAGTAGCGGACTATGGAAGACAACTCTTGATTTACTGTAATACATGCAATCAATGGTTATAATTCATGCAATCACCGCTTGTCGGCAGATTTGTGAGTGAAACAGGATGGGAGAAAAACAATCATCTCCTACCTTGAGTGTGTGACAGAGAAACCTCCAACCCTCGGGATGATATTCTCGAATGTCTTACCCTCAGCACAGCCTCGGGTAAGAAGCCGTGGGTAAGACATTCGAGAATATTATCCCTCGGGTTGGAGATTTCTCTGTCACACCCTCAAGGTAGGGGAAGATTCTATCAATCTTACACCCCATTTTACGTGACATGACGGCACATTGGCTCAATAATGACGTGTCGTCACGAATTTGAAAATCTCCGATGCCGCAATGCGGAAAAGGCGACATGATGAAATTAAAACCTTTTACGATAAATTTTACGTATAAGTTAAAAAGATGTGATTTATTCTCTGTTTGCAAATATAAGGTATGCTAAATCTGGTTGACATATTCGTTTTCGTCTGAAAAGCTCGACGGAAAAAATGATATTTTCAAAACGGTAGCCAATCCAAACGCATTTTCATGGTTTCTCAGCTTATTTTGGTGGTTGGAATGAGAGAAAAATACTCTTTCAAAGCCAAACCTCTCGGCTGGAATTTCCCTATCCTACAACCCCGGGCATGGAAGAGTCTTTTTTCTCGTCAAGTAATTAATATAACACCATCAGACACGCTTTTACAAACATAATGTATAATAATAAGTGTTTCAGTATGTTTTAAAACAACATTCTTTTTGCGATATAAAATTAGTGAAGAGCAACTCGCACCAGTGTTTGTCACTTTCAGGTGAACAACTCAATAAAGAATGTCAAGACTGTTAGCAACCTACCACATAAGGTATGTCATTCAGGCGAAGCCACATTTCCAGTTTCATAGCGTAAGGAGAAAAGTTGGGGAGACATTTGGCGTTCTCACGGGGGAACACGTGGAGATACACCACATCTCGTTTCCACTCCGGTCTCCACAATTTGCGATTATCCTGCTCGGCCGCCATTTAACAGATCACTTAAAACGGTGTCTACCTGTGGATCCTTTCAGATAAAGTGCGGGATCCTTGTCAAGTACCCTTATCTTATCTAGCTGCAGTATAAAATGTTGCCGTGAATTTCATGTCTGTAACCTTGTATCTATATTTTTTGCGAATCATGACTGCGAAAGTATTAATTATTTTTATTGAATTTTAATATCTCCGCAACAGCCAGAGTAATATAAAGGCTTTTACCTTTTATTTGCATTGTTCTCGGTGGTACAACTGTACCACGACTTAAAACACTTTGTTCTCGGTGGTACAACTGTACCACGACTTAAAACACATTGTTCTCGGTGGTACAACTGTACCACGACTTAAAACACTTTTAGTCGCAACATTATTTAAGCATTATAATCCACTTTATTCAGTCCGCTTCATCGGAAATGACACATTCCCTGTTCGTCATGGACAGAGTTTAACAGGTCAATCTTCCTCCATCAAATATCGGTTGACAAACTGTGAAACATTTCAAATATTGCATTTAAATTCGCATTTATATGCAAAATAAACATGCATATGATAATGCTTTTTTGGAATATGGTAAGGTACATCCACATTAATTTCGAACTGTTTGTAACTCTGTCTTAGAGAAGTAACTTAGTGTCCTTTATCTTGCACGTGCAAGATACGCTTCTCGAAGAAAAGCATGCACTTGTTTAGGCAGGTTTAAAAAGTAAGCATACTGTTAATTCACATGCTTTAGCGTTGAGAAAATTTGGGCGAACAAATCAACACACGAATACTCATTTATAAAGTATGTAGATTATAAATTTATAGAATATATGGATTTGAAAATTATTGCCAACGCGAATATTTCGACACCACAATCGTTTTTTACGAGTCACAACGTGAATATTTCCACACAACAATCGTTTTTTACGAGTCACAACGCGAATATTTCCACACTGCAATCATTTTTTACGAGTCACAACGCGAATATTTCCACTGCAATCATTGTTTACGAATCACAACGCGAATATTTTCACACTGCAATCATCTTTTTACGAGTCACAACGCGAATATTTCCACACTGCAATCATTTGTTTACAAGTCACAACGCAAATATTTCCACACAACAATTGTTTTTTACGAGTCACAACGCGAATATTTCCACACCGCAATCATTTTTTACGAGTCACAACGCGAATATTTCCACACCACAATCGGTTTTTTACGAGTCACAACGCGAATATTCCCGCAATTCAATCATTTCCGTACTGCAATCATTGTTTACGAGTCACAACGCGAATATTTCCACACTACAATCATTGTTTACGAGTAACAACGCGAATATATCCACCCGCGATAATTTACAGTAAACATTTATAAGTTTACATCTACTTTTAATAAAAAGACGTATACTTTGTTTTAAACTATCGTTTTTAAACAAGCGACAGCGTTGCAAACTTGCATGTTTATGCATCAATCCGTCGTATAATTATGTTCTTTTGTTTTGGTGACAGTGAAGGAATCCACACTGACTACTGAACAGTGTGCAGCAACCCAAGCACACTGTGAAAATTACTGTGCATACGAAGTAAAATAGTGCACGGAAGATCTTGCTGTTTGTAATACTAAAAAATATAGATAATGTATAATTTTATCGTTAGCTGCGAAGCAGATATATTTAACGGGACTTTATTCAAATTTTAAAAGTGTGAATGGCAATGGAAAAATAATATGTGTATAAAAGTGAAAGTCTAATACGTAACTTATGTTAGACTGCACGTCTGCCCTTTTATGCAATATCTGAAAGTAGGTCAAATTTACCTTGGTACAATGGACTCTCCCTTCTGACCTCAAAACCAGTCAATTTGACCGTTACGCTGCCGCGCGACCCTACTTATTTTAATAATAAAAAAAAATCAGATAAGTGTACTTGTATTATCCGCAGGGTGTCGCGTAAAGAGCCCTCGATTTGGCATGACATATTCCAGGGATGCAGAGAAGATGTATATATTGAAAGCGACACATTGAATTATGAGGTTGTGTTTGGCTTTAATTTGTTGTCAACGCGTTTGTCCTAGTCCTAGTTGAAGAATTAACTGTTGCTAGGCTCCGGGTGTGACTAATAAACTGTAACAGAAATTGACAGCTATCTAACCCACACAGGCAGTGTCGCCAGGTTGATACCTTTTGCATTTAGATAATTGCATGACGTCACGGTATGTAATATAGATACGTCTCTTGTGACGTCACACATTTGTTGCTCAGCTGCTTAGCAATCGGCAAAGGCGGAGATGATCAGTCTTTCCCCTGATAGTTACCTTTTATAGTAAGTCTTAGATTACCATGATGGATATCAGGTTATTCTTGATATTTGCGGTATTACTGAGCGCAATGCAGCAAGGTCCTGCTGTATATCGGCACCTTACGTGGTAAGTTTGGACTATTACTAGTATATATATATATATGAGCAGTAGTGGGCTCTTTAAGTCGATATAGAGTTCATCTAGAGCGAAGTCCGTGAAAAGTATATTTTTTTCCTTGATTTTCAACTAAATTTCTACAGCGTGGAGCCAGTCACAGGATATGCCCAAAGATTGTTCCATTATTTCACCGCGACTGCAGTTGAGAAAGTATGTCCAACGCCTGCGGGTCTGGCATGGGTAAGAGTCGGTTTCCGACCATTTTGCGTGTAACCAGTTTGTTAGACTGGAACACTAACTGTTTTAATCAGACAAAGGAGTCGAAATCTTATTTACAATTAAATAATGTTCGAACACAGAAGGCTAGAACTTTATGTAAATATGTATAAAGAATATTCCAGGTTAAATAAAGGAATATAGTCGTTCACACAGAGAGCTATTGACATGTGGAATAACCTCCCATCGAATACAGCGAACGCAGTGACAGAGAATTTGAGCAAGAAATAGATGAACACTTAAAAATTCACGAAATATCAACCGAAAAAGTTTTATTTAAGAAAGGCATGAACTATAAAATGACATTGATGTATCATTATGTTACGAGCTACCTATCAAAGGATTGTAAATCATGTACATATGTATATTGTCAGAATTTTGTGATGTGTGATGCCCGGGAAATTGTGTATTATTTTAATATATTTTAGCGAATTGGAAATGAGGTATTCTGGATACTCCTCTGTGTGATTCTAAGTGTGCTGTTGAGGTATGCGCCGTCGGTTGGCGCCAGCGCCAAAGAGAAATGGTCGGCCATCGTTACAATAGTCCACGAATGGAGAACTCGTAAGTAATATTTATCATTAGATGTTGGTGTTTCCATATATTTCGTTGTTTCAGTTTCTTTCGTTGATACATTCATTCACTGTCAAATACTTCATGATGGACTGTAATCATCTTTCGACAATACCCGTATGCAATAGTTTGGTACGTGTGTAAACAAACTTGAATTGAAAGTAACCATGAACGACCTTTAACTTTCACTAATTTAATTTGCGGCTGTGATGGAACTTAGAACAGAGTCAGTTCAAGCCTTTACGCCGGTGTTTGATTTGACGAAATAAAAAGGTATGAAAATGTGTCATTCACGGCTACTGGTCACTCACGGTGACATCCCGAGTAGGGTGAATTGCAAGCCATTCTAGTTATCGTAACCTATATCTGCTTGTTCATGTCCTTCAATCCGTCGTAAAATGTATTTATACTTTTCAGGTCCTTCCCAGTGTCGTTACTGTGGAACTGCTCCGTGTCAGGTGAAAAGACGATCCTTATGGAAACCGTCTGGATATCGTAAGAGGGACAAAGTAAATTTTGCAGAGCGGTCAAATGCCATGATGTTATTCAATTATGGACTAGAGTTGTCCATCGTACTGACCAAGGAACTGCCACAGGACGACCTGTATTGGCAGAGGAAGTTCTGTCAGCGATTTGGGGAGGAACACATGGTGCTGTTCCCACTCTGCATTCAGCGTCATATCAACTACTGGTACCCAATCCCTCGCTAGGTAAGCATTCTGTCCTTCACCGGGGTGTCGGGTTGTTTCGATTTCGCGCTAGGTTGTTTCTCCCTGAAAACGTGATTATTTAGGGCCAAACTGTCTCTTGCCTGTTAGTAGTGTATGTCTAGTCAAAGAGTTCCTTCGCCTTCTTAGTTATTAGACATCATCATTAGAGATCATATTTCTGTACAGAATAATATTATGATAACGTTAGAAAGTTCTTCCGGTAAAACAACTCTTCGCGAAACATAACACAGCATTTTTGTTTTTTAAAGATAATTTACTAAATTTAATATGATATGTATCGCTTTTGAAAGTATCTATACATTAAGGCGAAACGACATGGGCGAACTGGATTAATATGGCGAAACAAAAGAACGGGATCCAGGGCGAAACGGCGTAGATTCCTCACTACGCCATATAAAATGTTTCACTTTCGTGTCAGTATAAAACTAATACATCACATAATAAACACTGTAAAGACAATACCAAGATTCACCGAAAATTAACCGAAATGTACCATCTTATTGCAGATTCATCGTACCGATCCAGGAGAAGAATACCGATGATAGTCAAATATGGAATCGAACTTTCCCGGTGGATGTCATTGCCTGATTTGTGTGATAATGGCGTATCAAACTCGTCCTCTATTGATTTGTGTGATAAGGGCGTATCAAACTCGTCCTCTATTGATGTGTGTGATAATGGCGTATCAAACTCGTCCTCTATTGATTTGTGTGATAATGGCGTATCGAACTCGTCCTCTATTGATGTGTGTGATAATGGCGTATCGAACTCGTCCTCTATTGATGTGTGTGATAAGGGCGTATCAAACTCGTCCTCGATTGATGTGTGTGATAATGGCGTATCAAACTCGTCCTCTATTGATGTGCCTTATGTGTTTTTTGGTGCGTTTTCACGTGTGCAGATAAAAAATGGGAGCTATCATGACCAGTTCTATTGGCTGGTCATAATTAGTGAATCTTGACCGCTGGTGGCTTCACGAAGAATTTTGTCCTCTGATTGTTTATAATTTGTCTTAAGAATTTTGCTGGTGTTGTCCAGTTGTTGTTAAGTTTAGAAAATGTACTTTGTATTTTTTTTATTTGTCAGCCGTAACATGTCTTATCGTGGCTGTTAGAGGTATATATTGTATCGGTCAGTTCGAAGGTTCTTATCTGGACCACTATAAGTCTCGTGAAAACAATTTGTCCGATGTTTGTTATGGTCAAACTGTGCAGATATTAATCTCCCATGTTTGTTGACCGCTAGTGGTCTCATGTAGATTGCGTCTTTGCTTGCAGTATCGGTCAAATCAAGACTTGTTGGGTTTTTACTGCTAGTGGCCAAATGAACACTGCACCCTGTATGCCTGCTGTATCGGTCAGTTCTATATAACTGTCGGGTCTTGATCGCTAATGGTCACACGTAGATTGTATCCATTCTTGGCATGCCACTCAGGTTACTGGGTATAAAAAGCTTTGGCTATTTAGTATTGGTCAGTTAAGTTTAGAAAAGCTTGTGAAACAATGAAATAAAATATCTTAAAAACAGTTTTCGTGTTCAAAGTAATGTTTGCTAACCAAACTGTCTGAGCAACAATTTCCCTACAAGGTATACGGGCGACAAATATGGTTCAAATGTTGTCAAACGTAGTTTATAATGAGGTATGCGGGCGAGGGTACTAAAACGTAGATAATAATGGGATGTGCGGGCGAGGGTACTAACACGTAGTTTATAATGAGGTATGCGGGCGAGGGTACTAACACGTAGTTTATAATGAGGTATGCGGGCGAGGATATTAAAACTTAGTTAATAATGAGGTATGCGGGCGAGGGAACTAACACGTAGTTTATAATGAGTTATGCGGGCGAGGGTACTAAAACGTAGTTTATAATGAGGTATGTGGGCGAGGGGACTAACACGTAGTTTTTAATGAGGTATGCAGGCGAGGATACTAACACGTAGTTTTTAATGAGGTATGCAGGCGAGGATACTAACACGGAGATTATAATGAGGGATGCAGGCGAGGGTACTAACACGTAGCTTATAATGAGGCATGCAGGCGAGGATACTAACACGGAGATTATAATGAGGGATGCAGGCGAGGATACTAACACGGAGATTATAATGAGGGATGTGGGCGAGGGTAGTAACACGTAGTTTATACTGGTAGATGATAATGAGGTATGCGGGCGAAGGGACGAAAACGTAGTTTATAATCAGAGATGCGGGCGAGGGAACTAAAACGTAGTTTATAATCAGAGATGCGGGCGAGGGAACTAAAACGTAGTTTATTTATGCGGGCGAGGGTGCTAACACGTAGTTTATAATAAGGTATGCGGGCGAGAGTATAAACACGTAGTTTTTAATGAGGTATGCAGGCGAGGATACTAACACGGAGATTATAATGAGGGATGTGGGCGAGGGTAGTAACACGTAGTTTATACTGGTAGATGATAATGAGGTATGCGCGCGAGGATATTAAAACTTAGTTAATAATTTGGTATGCGAGCGAGGGTATAACCACGTAGTTTATAATTAGGTATGCGGGCGAGAGTATAAACACGTAGTTTTTAATGAGGTATGCAGGCGAGGATACTAACACGGAGATTATAATGAGGGATGTGGGCGAGGGTAGTAACACGTAGTTTATACTGGTAGATGATAATGAGGTATGCGTGCGAGTGTCCTAAAACGTAGTTTATTTATGCGGGCGAGGGTACTAAAACGTAGTTTATAATGAGGTATGCGGGCGAGGGTATAAACACGTAGTTTATAATGAGGTATGCAGGCGAGGATACTAACACGTAGTTTATAATGAGGTATGCGGGCGAGGGTACTAACACGTAGTTTATAATGAGGTATGCGGGCGAGGTTACTAAAACATAGTTTATAATGAGATATGCGGGCGAGGGTATTAACACGTAGTTTATAATGTGGTATGCGGGCGAGGTTACTAAAACGTAGTTTCTAATGAGGTATGCGGGCAAGGGGAACTAAAACGTAGTTTATAATAAGGTATGCGGGCGAGGGTACTAAAACATAGTTTATAATGAGGTATGCGGGCGAGGGTAATAACACGTAGTTTAAAATGAGGTATGCGGGCGAGGGTACTAAAACGTAATTTGTAATGAGATATGCGGGCGAGGGTACTAACACGTAGTTTATACTGCGGTATGCGGGCGAGGGTACTAAAACGTAGTTTAAAATGAGATATGCGGGCGAGGGTACTAAAACGTATTTTATAATGAGGTATGCGGGCGAGGGTACTAAAACGTAGTTTAAAATGAGTTATGTGGGGGAGGGGACTAAAACGTAGTTTATAATGAGGTATGTGGGCGAGGGTACTAACGCGTAGTTTATAATGAGGTATGCGGGCGAGGGTAATAACACGTAGCTTATAATGAGGTATGCGGGCGAGGGTAATAACACGTAGTTTAAAATGAGGTATGCGGGCGAGGGTACTAAAACGAAGATTATAATGAGATATGCGGGCGAGGGTACTAAGACGTAGTTTATAATGAGGTATGCGGGAGAGGTTACTAAAACGTAGTTTATAATGAGGTATGCGGCCGAGGTTACTAAAACGTAGTTTATAATGAGGTATGTGGGCGAGGGTACTAACACGTAGTTTATAATGAGGCATGCGGGCGAGGGTACTAAAACGTAGTTTATACTGAGGTATGCGGGCGAGGGAACTAAAACGTAGTTTATAATGAGATATGCGGGTGAGGGTACTAAAACGTAGTTTATAATGAGATATGCGGGTGAGGGTACTAAAACGTAGTTTATAATGAGATGTGCGGGCGAGGGTACTAAAACGTAGTTTATAATTAGATATGCGGGCGAGGGTACTAAAACGTAGTTTAAAATGAGATATGCGGGCGAGGGTACTAAAACGTAGTTTAAAATGAGTTATGTGGGGGAGGGGACTAAAACGTAGTTTATAATGAGGTATGTGGGCGAGGGTACTAACGCGTAGTTTATAATGAGATATGCGGGCGAGGGCACTAAAACGTAGTTTATAATGAGATATGCGGGCGGGGGTACTAAAACGTAGTTTATAATGAGGTATGCTGAACGGTGCGCTATTAATGAGGTATGCGGGAGAGGTTACTAAAACGTAGTTTATAATGAGGTATGCGGGCGAGGGTACTAAAACGTAGTTTATAATGAGTTATGTGGGGGAGGGTACTAAAACGTAGTTTATAATGAGGTATGCTGAACGGTGCGCTATTATACAGGATACAGAGCTAACGACAACACTGAACGATGCGCTATTATACGGGGTACAGAGCTAACGACAACACTGAACGATGCGCTATTATACAGGGTACAGAGCTAACGACAACCCTGAACGGTGCGCTATTATACAGGGTACAGAGCTAACGACAACACTGTACGGTGTGCTATTATACAGGGTACAGAGCTAACGACAACACTGAACGGTGCGCTATTATACAGGGTACAGAGCTAACGAAAACACTGAACGGTGCGCTATTACACAGTGTACAGAGCTAACGACAACACTGAACGGTGCGCTATCATACAGGATACAGAGCTAACGACAACACTGAACGATGCGCTATTATACAGCGTACAGAGCTAACGAAAACACTGAACGGTGCGCTGTTATACAGTGAACAGAGCTAACGACACCACTGAACGGTGCGCTAGTATACAGGGTACAGAGCGAACGAAAACACTGAACGGGGCGCTATTACACAGTGTACAGAGCTAACGACAACACTGAACGGTGCGCTATTATACAGGATACAGAGCTAACGACAACACTTAACGATGCGCTATTATACAGGGTACAGAGCTAACGACAACACTGAGCGGTTCGCTATTATACAGGGTACAGAGCTAACGACATCACTGAACGGTGTGCTATTATACAGGGTACAGAGCTAACGACAACCCTGAACGGTTCGCTGTTATACAGTGTACAGAGCTAGCGACAACACTGAACGGTGCGCTATTATACAGTGTACAGAGCTAACGACAACGCTGAACGTTTCGCTGTTATACAGGGTACAGAGCTAACGACAACGCTGAACGGTGTGCTATTATACAGGGTACAGAGCTAACGACATCACTGAACGGTGTGCTATTATACAGGGTACAGAGCTAACGACATCACTGAACGGTGTGCTATTATACAGGGTACAGAGCTAACGACATCACTGAACGGTGTGCTATTATACAGGGTACAGAGCTAACGACAACACTGAACGTTTCGCTGTTATACAGGGTACAGAGCTAACGACAACGCCGAACGGTGTGTTATTATACAGGGTACAGAGCTAACGACAACACTGAACGGTGTACTATTACACAGTGTACAGAGCTAACGACAGCACTGAACGTTTCGCTGTTATACAGGGTATAGAGCTAACGACAACGCCGAACGGTGTGTTATTATACAGGGTACGGAGCTAACGACAACACTGAACGGTGTGTTATTATACAGGGTACAGAGCTAACGACAACACCGAACGGTGTGTTATTATACCATCATTCAATCGGACACAGTTGGCACATATCGGGAGCGTCGGCTATTTAATACTGTTTTCTCGTCTACGGAACTGTGTCGTCGATTCCCGATTGGTGTTTTTTGTCTTCTTTCCAAAAACGTTTCACACCGACAAACCTGCTAACCCTTTCTGAATGATTTGTTTAATTTGGATTCAATTTATGACATATATAAATGACATTTGCACCACCTCGGCTACTCAGCCAGGGGCATTGAGATCAAAACGAAAAGGATTTTAGCCACGATTGTTTTTATTTTTTTGTTCTTTGGTTTTTATTTTCAAATGTGTTAAAATGTGTTAAAACAAACACAGAACACAGAATTATGCACCTCTACCTATTGTTATACTATCGGTGGTAACCCGCTACCCATCCTCGAAATCGAAGAATTCCGCTCTCGTCTGAACGCCCTCAAAATCCAAAGGTATCGTTGCAGAGACGATATGTATCCAGCGCGCCACACTTGGATTTCGAGGACGGGAATTTGCACGATACAAATAGTTTTGTAGTCTGAGTTGTATTCCTATTCGTCAGTGTCCAGAAAAGAAGGCATAGTCCTGGCACACACCGTTTTTGAAAACGAAGCTATGCAATCTATGTAGTTCTACGTCGTTGTAAAACATTAACAGTTCTGTAAAGATTATGCAATGTGTTTTTACCTAAATTTTACAACAGTAGCCTATCTCTACATGAGTTATGAGCAATATTTGTTGTTTTTTTGAAATTGGGAAGATATTTCTCAAATTTTCTTCATTTTGGGAAAATAAAGAATCAATTTTGCATCAATTTTGCTTACTGATCCGATTTGGGTCCTCCTCCTAAAACGTCTTAATTTTAAAGAGCCCTGCTCAACTGCAGGCAAAGCGCTTCAGAATTCCAAAGTATTTTTTCATACAGTTGCCTGCATGGAATAGGGTATTGAGATCAGAGAGGAGTCGAATCCCGACCAGGCTGAACTTCATTTTTACTCTCAGAACGTTTTTTTCGAATTTCATCAATGTATCAAGACGTG